CCCCCCCACCCCCCCGTATGTAGCCTCAGCAGACTGTTGGGCCAAGTGCTGTTTGCGAGCACCTATGAAGGCCGACACGGGAGGATTTTGTTGTGGCTAGCGCCAAGCCTGACCGCCTTTGTCTCCGCAGTGGCGAAGTTTACACACGGCACCAGGTGCTCATTTGAGGCTGAGTCGACCGGGGCGTGGCCCAGGATCTGTTCAGATGATAATCGTTACCGCTGTTGGCCGTGGGCAGGAACCGAACTCTGTTCGCCGGGGTTCGTATGCATAGCGCAGCGCGTACACAAATGCCCACTGACACACAAATACACCGATACAGTATACACACAAACACACGAACACACATATGCACGCGAAGACACACTGACGGAGACTCAAGGACAAGACAAAGATCCCCCACGATAGGCTTAACAGGCTGTTATGGCAAGTGCCGTAATAGCGAGCGCATATGACAAAGACAAAGGTCCCCCCGTATAGCCTCAACAGACTGTTGGGGCAAGTGCTGTTAGCGAGCACCTATTAAGGCCGGCACAGCACACGAGGGGGATTGGTGCCCGGCACCACGCCCGGCAGCCTTTGTCTCCCTAGCGGCGATGTTTAAACACCACACCGGGTTACTCATTTGAGGCTGAGTCTACCTAGGGCAGGCCCAGGACCGGTTCAGGTAATCGTCACCGGTGTTTGGCCGTGAGCGGGAATCGAACTCAGGTGGCCGGGTCTCCTGCTCACACAGCAACACGGAGGGTGCGTGTTGTGTGTGTACGTATGGGGGAGCGGTGGCGCAGTGGTTAACGCACCGCGCTACGAACCTCTTACGGCCAACATAGGGGATGGATATCTGAACCGGTCCCGGGCCTCCCCAGGTTGACTCAGTCTTAAATTAGTACTGTACCTGGCGCGGTGTGTAAACATGAGCACTGGGGAGACAAAGGCGGCCGGGCGTATTGCTGGGCACCCACCCTCTCGTGTACCGTAGGTGCTCGCTAACAGCACTTGCCATAACAGTCTGTTACGGCTATACGGGGGATCCTTGTCATTGTTTGCATTTGTGTTATATTATTTTGATGTGTGTGTGTCTTAGTGTACGTCAATCAGTTAACCCCATAATACACGGGTCTACCCCGTGATCTCCTTCGACACTTCGCGTGCACCTAGCTTGGCACAGTGACGTCGTCCCCACTCGCTGGTGAGTGGTGGCTGCTGTGTGCGTCCGTCCGTGTGTGTGCTGCATAGGGACTTGCTCACAGCACTTGCCCATCGATCTACATGGGATCTATACGGCTTCAAGGGGGAACTCTGTGTTTCCGTGTGTGTATATATACGCGCGCGCGTGTGTCTGCGTGTAACTGTGTCTATATGTGTGCATATAAATGTATCAATGTGTGTCAGTGCGTTTGTCAGTTTCAAGTTATTGTTGTTAGCCCAGCTGAGAAATCGAGAGACAAAGAGGATAGTGTAAGTTACAACACGTGACCTGGGGCATGCGTGTGTCGCGGGGGCGATGATTGCGATGTAATAAATCAAATTGAGACATTTGCGAGTAATTTTAGAATCTCGCCATGACGTGGGCACACATCGGCCTACTCTTGCGGATGGCAGCAGAGGATTCTGAACGCGCGCTGTCGAGCGGACGGCACGGGGCATTATTTCACGTTGTTACGCCCGCAGTAACAACCAGGGCGTCCGCTGGAATTCGAACCGCGACTTCTACAACAAGCGGCTAAAGCGTTGCGGCTAAGCCACGTCACTTGCTCGTGTGCATGTGTCCATCTGCGTGTCATCTGTGTGTCAATGTGGGGAACGGTGGCGCAGTGGTTAGCGCGCTGTGCTACGAACCCGGCGACCCGAGTTTTATAACCGCCCATGGCCAACACCCGTGACGATTACCTGAACCGGTCCTGGGCACATCGACGTTGACCCAGGTTCAAATGAGTACCTGGTGCAGTGTATACACACCGCCGCTGGGGAGACAAAGGCGGTCGGGCGTGGTGCTGGCTAACAGCACCGTGCTCGCTAACGGCACTTGTCCCCGAAAGTCTGTCAAGGCTATAACGGGATCTTTGTTTTTGTCTTGTATCAATCTGTGAGAGTGTGTGTGTGTGCCAGTGTGTATCGGCGTCAGTGTGTGTCAGCGTTTGCATCCATCTCCCAATAAACCTCGCGAGGTCAGCGTTCTATCAAAATAAAAGTCTCGCACGATTTGACATCTTGACCTTTTTACGCTGCATTCCTGCGTGCAACAACCCCCCCCCCCCCCCCCCCCGCTGGTTCCATAATAGCGGTGCACCGGGGAAGTGCATCATCGACGTCATTCAAGGCGATGTGAGCTGATGCTGATGACAATAGGGAGTGGGGAGGTGGATGGTGGTTTTGGTGACGGCGCGAGCTGAGCCGAGAAGCCGGCGAACGGAGTTTCGTTCCCCGGGCCGTGAGTAAAGATCGGCGGTGATCGATATCCGAACCACTCGTGGACTCCTTCGCGAGCGTGGCGATGGACATGTGTTCTCCTTGTCCCACGATGCCTATAGCGCAATGGTGATGAAAATGGTGAGAAATAATAATGAATCGGGGAACATGACGATCACGATGAGGATAATAAGAGTGAGGATGCAGCTGGCTGTCTTTCATCGTTTCAGTGATGTCGATGCTGCTGCTCATGATGCTGCTGCTGCTGCTTGCTCACGTGACAGCTGATGATATTGGCACTTTTGCTGCTGCTGCTGTTGCTGCTGTCGATGAAAATGACAGATTCCATCTCGGCGTTCACTCTTCCAGTTTCGAGTTAAACCTGTTACCGCGTCTCTGGGGAATTCACAAAAGGACGTACAGTACCGTTTGCAGCTTTATTATTTTTTTAGCCTTAACTTCACAGCGAGAGCGACGGAGTGCCCCCGTACATTAGCGCGTGGGGAGCGGAGGGAGTGAGGGAGCGGAGGAGGAGGAGGGGAGGGTCCTCCTGTGTGTGATCAAGGACAAAGGGACGTGACCTTGGCATCTCGCGGTGCCTGGCCGGACACAGAAATTCCACGTCCTTGGGACAAAGACGATTTCACATATTTCTCGACGTCGTGTGCTCACTGGCATGGGGTGGGGGTGGGTGGAGGGGTGGGTGGGGGGTGGGTTGGTGGGGGGTAGGTGGGTGGGGGGGGTAGGTGGGTGGGGGGAGTAGGTGGAAGGGGGGGGTAGGTGGGTAGGTGAGTGGGGGGGTTGTGAAGAGACAACGAGCGGGGTGCGTGGTAAGCGCCGCCCCCCACTCTCCCCGTTCATCCCCCACGACCCCCCCCAAGCGCCGAGTTAAAGAGTTGTTGAGTGGTCGATGTACAGTGAGGGAAAAAAGTATTTGATCCCCTGCTGATTTTGTAGGTTTGCCCAGTGACAAAGAAATGATCAGTCTATAATTTTAATGGTAGGTTTATTTGAACAGTGAGAGACAGAATAACAACAAAAAAACTCCAGAAAAACGCATGTCAAAAATGTTATCAATTGATTTGCATTTTAATGAGGGAAATAAGTATTTGACCCCTCTGCAAAACACGACTTAGTACTTGGTGGCAAAACCCTTGTTGGCAATCACAGAGGTAAAACGTTTCTTGTAGTTGGCCACCAGGTCTGCACACATCTCAGGAGGGATTTGGTCCCACTCCTCTTTGCAGATCTTCTCCAAGTCATTAAGGTTTCGAGGCTGACGTTTGCCAACTCGAACCTTCAGCTCCCTCCACATATTTTCTATGGGATTAAGGTCTGGAGACTGGCTAGGCCACTCCAGGACCTTAATGTGCTTCTTCTTGAGCCACTCCTTTGTTGCCTTGGCCGTGTGTTTTGGGTCATTGTCATGCTGGAATACCCATCCACGACCCATTTTTAATGCCCTGGCTGAGGGAAGGAGGTTCTCACCCAAGATTTGACGGTAAATGGCCCCGTCCATCGTCCCTTTGATCCGGTGAAGTTGTCCTGTCCCCTTATCAGAAAAACACCCCCAAAGCATAATGTTTCCACCTCCATGTTTGACGGTGGGGATGGTGTTCCTGGGGTCATAGGCAGCATTCCTCCTCCAAACACATCGAGTTGAGTTGATGCCAAAGAGCTCCATTTTGGTCTCATCTGACCACAACACTTTCACCCATCTTCTTTGGTTCTTTCGGTAAAGTCACGTAGAATGAGAATAAAATAATAAATTTATAAAATAAAATAACACAATAAAATTCTCACGACGTTTCGGCCACAATACAAGCGGCCAGCTGTCCTCTGAATCATTCAGATGTTCATTGGCAACCTTCAGACGGACATGTATATGTGCTTTCTTGAGCAGGGGGACCTTGCGGGCGCTGCAGGATTTCAGTCCTTCACGGCGTAGTGTGTTACCAATTGTTTTCTTGGTGACTATGGTCCCAGCTGCCTTGAGATCATTGACAAGATCCTCCCGTGTAGTTCTGGACTGATTCCTCACCGTTATCATGATCATTGCAACTCTACGAGGTGAGATCTTGCATGGAGCCCCAGGCCGAGGGAGATTGACAGTTATTTTGGGTTTCTTCCATTTGCGAATAATCGCACTAACTGTTGTCACCTTCTCACCAAGCTGTTTGGCAATGGTCTTGTAGCCCATTCCAGTCTTGTGTAGGTCTACAATCTTGTCCCTGACATCCTTGGAGAGCTCTTTGGTCTTGGCCATGGTGGAGAGTTTGGAATCTTATTGATTGATTGCTTCTGTGGACAGGTGCCTTTTATACAGGTAACAAGCTGAGATTAGGATAATTCCCTTTAAGAGTGTGCTCCTAATCTCAGCTCGTTACCTGTATAAAAGACACCTGGGAGCCATACATCTTTCTGATTGAGAGGGGGTCAAATACTTATTTCCCTCATTGAAATGCAAATCAATTTATAACATTTTTGACATGCGTTTTTCTGGTTTTTGTTGTTGTTATTGTGTCTCTCACTGTTCAAACAAACCTACCATTAAAATTATAAACTTATCATTTCTTTGTCAGTGGGCAAAC